CTAATACTAATTTAAAAGGTTATGAAAAAGAAAGCTAAATGTCTCAAGCTACTTCCAGGACCACAGGGGTTACACCTACATACAAAAAAAACCCAAACTAAATCAATGTGAAAATAGAAACAGGTAGCCACGATTTTCTCTTCAAAGCTATAGAACTAAGGAATATGCTAGGATAACTACTAGAAAGATTTGGACAACAGTGGAATACTGCCAATTTGTGTGAATGCCCGTAATACCTCACCACTTCAGTCATTCGATAGTACTGTTCAGTTGAGGCTTCAGCCCGGAGTCCTTGAGTGCCACTGTATTCAGTAATCTACCTTATCTTTTGGACAGTTTTAAGATGAGGAAGATTAGGTACAGGAATATCTTTAGGGACAAACTATAGAGATGTGATGCAGAATTATAAAGCTACTCAATTACAAGCAGGTTTATATCTGAAAAAATAAAGGACATATACATATAATATAAGCTTTCTATTCTTCTCTGTTTCATCTTTTGCAAAAGCCTGAAACCAATGAGCAAACTGCTATTAATTTTTGTAAATAGGTACATTTATAATGTTTAACATAAAAGCCATGTACTCATAAAAAGTCATCCTATTATCTGTAAACCCCTTATTTTTATTTGACAGGAAGAACCATTAGGGAAAAAAAAATTAAATATTAAGCTGGAAAGAAGCTACAGTTAATTAATAATTTAAAAGCTCTTTACAAGTTAAAAAAGTTTTGTCCTGAGGAAGGACAATACATTTTCAGGGTCTGCTCTTTAAAACAGACCAGCACTATACATCCCCTCAAATTGCTGTTCCATACTAGCTACAATTAAAACAAGTATTCTCTCTAACACAAATCAAAACGACTCACTTGTCCAGAAAGACAATCATGCCAGTGATTCCTCCTACACAAGAGACAGGAAAAGAAGGGAGGATAGACAGAGATGACAGGGGAGTCAAGGAAGGAGGAGGGTTTGGTTACAGTCGTTGACTTCCCTTCCCACCCTCCTCCACAGAGGAGTCAAATCTGCAGTCTGGTACAAGCCCTGCTTCCACCCTCTCCCAGTTTTCACGTATCTACCATTACAGGCAACTCCCAAGTATTATTAAAGACGCCTTCACTGTTTCAGCACAGATCCAGGCACACAGAAAGGGTGTGAGCCTTGCAGGCAGCTGAGGAAGCAGCTATAAAAAAGTGCCTCAACTGCTGTCCAACAGGCAGTCAATATGGCATGTAGCAATAAAGGCAGAAATCAAAAACCTGAAAGAAACCAAACACACAGCTTACTGGTGAATGTTTTTAGAAACTGTTTTCATGAGACAGGCTGTTTCTGCTTCTATCCTCCCTTGGACAACTCTACAGCACAGACACATGCACACAAACGCACGAGGTGGCTGGCTACAGCCTCAGATCGGAAGGTCCACAACTTTGTAAAAACTCAGCTTGTTAAACATAAAAATGGAAAAAAAAACCCAACCAAAAACCAAAACCCAAACCCAAACCCAACAACAATCAAGTTAAAGTAATTATTTCAACAGTTTTAGAGAATCAAGTCATAACACTGAGAACATCGATCTGGTCATATACCTAACATTATAAAAACAAAGATCACAGAATATCAATCCTTTCTTAAGATTTTGTGAAACAGAACACAACTACTGCCACTGCTACCCAATATAATTTCTGGGGCCATTTTTCCCAAAGCTAGATACAGCAAGTCCTGGACCGAGGAGCACTGAAGGACTTTTTGTTGTCATTTTTACCAATGCAGAAAACACCCAAGTACAGTTGTAACACTAAATATTAATCCCAAACCCTCCATAATCCCACAGGAGCATGCCATCAGACTGTCCTATTCAGACATGGCACCACCTTAGCCCAATTTATATTTCAGGTATTTTTAAGTGTACTTAACGAGTATTTAAACCATGTAAGGGGCTTTTTAGACTAGAATTAACGAAAGGTATGAAAAATTTGTTTTTAAAAAGTCAGAACACATTAAGTTTCTAAATTTAACTATGGATTTTAAACAGAATACGCAGCAGCACAATGAATGGGTATTCACTGATGGAAGTGAGATCATTTGTTCTGGTTAAATTTCCCGTGTTCCAGATTTGGTTCCTTACTCTGAGGAGTTTACCTGTACAACCTCAGAAAGAAGAGATGTACTCCAAGATACTCACTTGGCAGATGACATAAACCCAAATTACCTCATTTCACAAGCATGCTATCGTTCTTGCAGCTCCAGACTAATGGAATTCCATATTTTATTGACAAAGTTAGCTGAATTACAGACCAGAGCACTAGTATTTAGCAAGTCACACTAAAAAGAAGTATCTTATTTAATCATCTCAATTTCAGATACTGTGTGAAAAAGCTCTTACTGGCAGCCTCAAGAAACAATATTATATACTTATATTTATATACAAAATTTTAAGATGTATAACTGACATCTAAGTTACTTTCAGCAATGCACAACCACCACTGACTCTAGAAAGAAAAGTATTTACATTAAAACACAAATTAGAAGTCAGCAAGAATAAAACACTGGGAATGAAGTGTGCTTGTACAATACAGACTAAACCAGGTGATAAACTACTGCAATTTTATATTCTAGCTCCACTTTGCAGCTAAATATGAAACACTGAACAAAAGGAAAAGATTATCTTATCCCTGTAACATCCAGATTGTTTTGTAATAGGCCTCATACTTCGCAAGGTGACTTCGGTTAAAATACATTTACAAGCATGTAGTAAGCCAAACTGATTGTTTATTCTGACTGAAAACAAAGTTATTAGCCCAAGACTGATTTACAGATCATAAGCACCATTGAACTAAACCCTGCACTAGTTCTGGGTTTTCGTCCCAAAAAACTCTCTGTAGGCAATTACTTCGATGGTAGCCCCAGCACATGTATTTTGAGCCCGTATTTAGGCGGTCAAACCCATCACCGATAACACCAGAGACAGCCCAGCCGGGGGACACACTGCAGGACTCGGCTGTTACTCTCCGCCTCGCAATTCACGCGTCTTCTGCGGGCACACTGAAACGTGCCCTGTGGCTTGGGCTCGGCACCGAAACCTCACGCTTCGCCCCAAGTCGCAAGCCTTCCGCTAGAGCCTTTGTCAGAGGTTTCCTGATCCGGTACTTCGGACGTGCCCCCACAACCCAACGCCTATTGCCCGGGGACCTCTGCCCCCACCAGCTCCCTGCTCTTTGCCCCATCCAGGCTGGCCGGCCTCATCCACAGCTCTGCCTGCGCTCCTTCCCTTCCCCCTCAGCCCCCCCCCAAAAGGCCACCCCTTTTCCCGCCGCGTTCCCGCCCGCGGGGGCTCCCGATAGCCTCAGCCCTGCCCTCTCTCCTCATACCGCACCCATCCCCGCAGTACCTGACCCCGCAAACCCCTGACACCCCCTCCCCCGGCGCTTCCCCCGCCTTTCCCGTCCGGGGCGGCTCCTCACCGCGATGACGACGGTGTCTTCGCCCTGAAACTTGGCGATGTACTTGTCGCCACGGGTCACTTCGGACTCGTTGAGGGGCCTGAAGCGACACATCACTTTGATGTTACACTCCGCCGGGTCCGCCATCTTAGGCCAACGCCGCCTCCGGGGCGCTCAGCTCCGCCACCACCCGCTTCCCAGACCCGCCCCCGTCACCGCTACCACAGGGGCTGCACGGCGCAAGCGCGCGGTGGCGGCCACCGGCCCGGGGTGGGGCAGGAACAGGGGGTGGTGCGAGCGGGGTTGGTTTGCGATGAAGGCGTGTGGGGTGACGGCGGCGTGGCTGGGGTTAGCGTCAGCCGCGGTACTGCGAGGAGGGGTGAAACCTTGCACACCCGCCTCGGGGTGAGGGGAGCGGAACTAGAGAGCGCTGCTGTAGCTCTGACGGGGCGGGGGGAGCTCCCGCCTCAGGCCGGCGGCAGAGGTCTGGCGCGGCGGGGCCGGGAGCTCGCCGGCCTTGGTACGGGCGGGGGTCGCCAGGCGTGCCTGCCGCCAGCCGCACGGTCCCGGTTAGAGCCCGGGTTTGTAAGTGCGCCTGGAAAGGGAGAGGCCGGCTCTGAAGTAAAGGCTTGAAGGGGACGGTTGAGATAGAAAAGTACGTTATTTCTTTGTGCTGCTCTTTGGTGAGGTTTTTTTCCACTTCGGTGAGGTGTTCGCAGACATCAGGGAACTGGGAATGGTTCCTGAATTGCTCGCGAACCTTGTCGCACGTACCAGGGAAGCAGGCAGTGTGCTTTGGGTGAGGGGGGTTAGGGGCATCCCAGGTCACAGCTTTGGGTGTCACCTCGGTTACAGGTCCTCTCATCACCTTCTCATCCCCATCTAAATAAAGAATCTGCTGAGTTGTCTTTTTTAAAGCTGAGTTTATTGCAAGTTTTTTTATTCATTACAGGGGATTTGAATTGTGGGCAATCAAAACTAGTGGACTGTTACCTAGACAAAAAAAAAACGTTAGGTAACAGCAGGGATTCTCAAGAATTGTGATCAGGGATTTGCAACTGTACCTCTTGTGTCCAGGTTTGAACTTTCAAACCAGGACAAAGTACAAACTGACAGCTTGGCTGAGTCTGCTTCCTGACAGAAATCACAATTTGTACTGGAAAAATTTCAAATAGCCTTGAAGTAAAAAAATAAAAAGAGGGATCCTTTCTCTTTAATGAGTCAATTTTGGTAGGCCAGAATAACTCAGAATAGCAATGTTCTTCCCTTAAAAATACTCAAATAATACTCTCTTTTTCATTAACAAAGAAGGAAAAGATTGTGAATTTTAACAGGGGCCATCTCAAATCAGGCATCCTCGCATTTTCCAGACCCTCCTCACTTTAGCGATTTCAGTGGTGTGTTTTCACTTAGGGTAGGTGTGTGAGGTGAACACTGCTTCAGACTGTTCCACGACTGAATACGACCTAATCTAGTTTCCTCTGGATCTTCTTTTCACACAGTAGTAGGAAAAATATTTTAGTGCTTCATATATCTTATGAGGTAAGCTAAGTGTTCTCAATTGGGTTCATGCTGTAGCATGTTTATTTTTCTGCTGTGATTAAAAATTCAGCAGGGCTGTGCTGTCTTATCTAGGGCAGCACCAGTTACACCTCCCCACCTATCAGTACATGTGGAAATAGCTGTCTAGTAAAGCCAAGAATCATACTGAGTCTGCAGTAGGTGTAGTGCTGCTCCACTATGTCTAGGATATCATACACATAGACATCTGTTTACAGCTTTGCTTGTCTGTATTTTCAATAAAATGTTTTAAACATAATTGTTATTAGCCTTTAAGTGTCTAAAAGCATATTTTTTGTCATTTGCTGATTTAGAAATTATTACTTTGTATTGCAGTCAGCAAGAGACATTAATGCATCTAACAACTATTTCTGAGATTATTAGCAAGCTGATGGCTAGGGTTGTTCATATACAGCTGCTGGATTTGGATCCTCACAGATTTCCTCTGATAGGAGGTTATTAGTTTTATGAAAGATGTGTAAATTATTTCCTACTTTGTCAATTAATTTGCTTTTATACACGAGGAAAGAGAAATGTTTGATATAAAATGAACAACTTCATGATTATTACTGACAGAAGTACACATTTCAGGTGCTGAGACATCCTTTACCCAATGTATTTAAGAAGCTCCTGATTAATCAAAGCGAAGACGATGTATCATTAGCTACATTTGCTGACATACAGTAAGTAATGTAAGGACATCTCAGTAGAGGAATAAACATCATAATGACGTGATTCTCAAGAAAAAAGATGCTTGGGCTTGCTTACCTGTTCAATGTTGCAGATGTCAGGCACTCCACAAAGCACAGATACATGAGTAGGTAATTACTCATTTTAACTATGTTGAAACAAAAAATGTCAGCATGTGGGAGCTATGTAGAAGAAACTGCACCCTTCAAAACACTCAGCTCTGTGTGAACTCATAGGAGAACTGTCTGATGATATCTCTCATACTGGCTGGGGGAGGCCATGCTGAATGAGCTCCGCTGAACTGAACATACATGCTCTCATATCCGTTTCAGGGCTTCTGTCATGAAGTTTCTCTTCTCTGATCTGGTGTTCAAAATAGCAGCCATTCTTTCACATGACCTACTTAAAGTCTGACACAACAATGCAGTGTGCTCAAAGAGGACAGTATGTTATCTCTGCTGGCACAAACATATCAAAATGGCACTCTTGAGGATGTGGTGTCACCTTCTGGAAATCTGTATGGAGACCAAACATCCTGGTAAGTTTCCATTTCATTGCAGTTAAAGAATACTCTTTGCCAACTGGGAATGTATTTACTGTCTTATGTATTGCTATGTAATGTCTATAGCATGCATTTTTTTTTTTTTTGTAATTTAGGGTAAAAGACTGTTTAAAAGTAATCTATTGCAATGAGAAAAAAATGATAAATCGGTTGTCATAAAAAGTGAATGTTTCTGTTTGGTGTTTGATCTCAGTATGACCGTATAAATCAAATATATGTTCTTTATGAGATAAATAAGTTTTCTGAAGTTTCTCAGTAAAGACCCATGTGTTTTACTAGAAGTGATTTATCCACCAAATTTATGTTTATTAGTTCGCTAACCATGTTTCTTCCCATTTGTGATCTGTGCAATAAAACTCTAGAAATTCTGTTATGATTTACAGCTCCTTTAGATCTCCAGTCTTTCCCAGCGATAAAAGCATGTTTAGCAAAAGAAACTGGCAAACCTGAGCCTTACAGTGAAGCTATATCTGGGTAATAATGTAATTAACCCTCAGAATTGTTCCCGCAGAGTTAAAGCGATCTTGATTTGGTCTTGAAAGAATATTACATATTTGAATAGATCTTTAAAACAGGTGTTTGTGGAGAAGCAAATTAAAGCTGCTTCCTGCTGCCCTTTAAAGAATTAAATTCATCAGTTGACAGTACTTGTTGACATTTGGTGTTCCTAATGCAAACACAAGTGCTCTTCTCATTTTAATTTGCAGTGTGCTGGGAAAATATAGCAGATGTCTTCTGAGAATTTAAGGTGCATTCTGGGTCAAATTTATTCCAAATTTGCAAGTTGATTTCTAGGACAAAAGAGTGATTAATCTGCCAGATATGGTGTATGGTACCTCAAACAGAACTCTTAATGGCTTGTAACGTACTCTGTAAGTAAAAGCTATTAAAATGATTTATGAAGTCTAGCATCATAGCCTGACACTGGGAAAGCATAATTAAAAGTAACAAAATTTTATGTTCAGACAGTTTATTCAAATACATTTTAAAGTCTTTTCATGAACAGACTGCATCTGGTCGACTCAGCTTGAGGTAAATAAGTAAATGATTGAGATTAGCAGTTTGGTGGATGGAGTCTAGTGGCCTAAGACATAACTGGAGTCCAACTAGATTGTCTGAAGCTCTTATTCTGTTACAAAATTCTCAAGCTTGTTTTCACTGTAGCAAACAGTCTGATGTGGAATGTACCTCCTGTCCCAATCAAGTTTGGGGTTTTATATGAAGTGGAAGGATGAAAACATCCTTTGAGGATGCCTCTGCTGATACATGTTCACTTCTTCTTGATAAAAATGATGAATAATTCTAAAAATCAGTATTACTTTTACTTTTTAACTGGAAATGAATAAACACAGAAAAACCTTGTTTCTTCCTAATCACCAAGGTCACATTATTTCTAATAGTGTTAGACTTATTAAAAGCAAAAGAAAAAGCTCTGGGAATATTATCACATTTTAGATGTTTATTTTGGCTAATTTGTGAAAATTCATGCAAAGATTTTGTCAGCTCACTACCTGAAGCATTGACTCTGAATTCTTTGAATAAGGAATGCACTTTTGGACCTTGTTTATATTTTCAGTGATTAAAACCATCTGGCATCTGTTGTCTGAAACATCCATAATAAATCCCTGTTCTCAGTTGCTTTTTGTTGTTTAGAACCCATACTAAATTCATCACTGGATTTTATCTTAGCTTCCTGGGTGCCAGCTGAAACAATTTTTTTTAATACTTGTGGCAAAAATAGTTTAGGTCTCTTGAAGAGTGAGACTAGACATGCAGTGTCAGCAGCGAGTCCCGGAAACCTTCAGCAAAGCAGGTGGAGTCACACGGAAACACCACCCCAGCCTGGGAGTGCAGAAGGCTGCCTCCCCCCGGATGCGGGGCACGAGGGCCACCTGCGTGGAGCACGAGCAGCTGCCTTTGGGACCCCATGACCCAAAGGAGCCCCGTGAAGGGGCTGTGCTCGGCTGCAGAGGAAGGCAAAAAACCCCAGGGACGCTTGCTAGTCCAGCCTGGGGGGAAAAAAGCACTTCCCTCCCCCAGCTGCAGGACACGAGGGGCCGCCTTCGCGGAGCATGAGCACCGGGCGATAACGCAGCCAGAATGGACCGAGGAGCCCTGACAAGGGGTCATGCTCCGTGCTCAGAGGAAGGCAAAAAACCCCCGGGGACGGGTGCCAATCTGCCCCGGGGGAAAATTCCTTCCTGACCCCAGTGCTGGCGGTCGGCTACTCCCTGAGCACGTGAGCAAGACCTGCTCCCGCTCCACACGCTGGTTACGCCTCTAAGGGGACAAGGGGACACTGGCACTGCTTTTTCTGCTTCCACGTGAAGTCATCTCAGGGGCTTCCAACAACAGCAAAATGCCATTGGCCTGATGAATCCTCGGAGCACGAATCCTTCCTGTGCTTGGCAGTGGGAGCTCCAGAGCCCTGGGGGAGGGCACTGAGCCGCCTGTGCATCCTTTTTCTTCTGGCTACTGCCACTCTCTCCCCAGGAGGTGAGGACGGCGAGCTCCCTGACAACCAAAGCAGGATCCCTCGATGATGCTTTGAGCGTGGCCCCTCCAGAAGCTGGAACCGCAGCACAGAGCCTCCTGCAGCTTCGCAGCTTGAGGTGTTCCCTCCCTCAGTCCCCCCCCTACCTAATACCCTGGTGCCCAGCAGAGGAGGACGGCGAGCTCCCCAACGACTGAAGCAGGATTTCCATCCATCCATCCATCCATAGATCCGATGAGCTTTGAGCGTGGCCCCTCCAGGAGCTGGAACCGCAGCACAGAACCTCCTGCAGCTTCGCAGCTTCAAGTGTTCCCTCCCTTAGTCCCCCCCTCACCGAATACCCTGGTGCCCAGGGGATGAGGACGGCGAGCTCCCCAGTGACTGAGGCAGGATTTCCACCCATGCATCCATCCATAGATCCGATGAGCTTTGAGCGTGGCCCCTCCAGGAGCTGGAACCACAGCACAGAACCTCCTGCAGCTTCGTGCAGCTTCAAGGGTTGCCCCCATCAACCCCCTTCCCCCTGCCAGGAATTCCCCCGGTGCCCCAAGGACTGCCTCTCGGATGCCCTCCGCCTGCCAGCTCTGTCCTGGTGGCAGCGCCGGGCACTCTGGCAGTGGGGCAGGGGAGGGCGCTGGACTCATACTGCCCCGGAGCATTGTGATGCTGCGTGGCCGGGTGCCGGCACTATGACACGGGGGTGACGGGGCCCCTGCAGCCCTGCCCACCGCAGCCCTGCTGCTGCCGCTGCCCCTTCACCCAGCATCCCTTGGAGAAAGGCCTTTGTGCTGCTGGCCCTGAGGCAGCGCCTGTGCCCAGGAGGCCCAGGGGATGTCCCTGCCCATGGTGGCCACACACTGGGCATCGCCGCGGGGTGTCCCTCTAAATAAATCTGTATGATCATACTGTATCCGTAAAGGCTTTTATACCACGTACAGTCATTGGAGAGTGGCGATCCCGAAGGAGAAAGGAAAGGGGTTTGGGTTCCATCTGTATGAACTTGGCAGAGACGTAGTGAGCATGCAGCATTTCCTCACCATTCCTTATCAATACACCGATTGGCGTTTGCCACTACACTGCCTGTGGTGAGGTCTTCTTGGAAAGGAGAATTCAAGAAATCTCTTCTGCGTTTGTTACGCAGGGTAACGTTTGTAGCAGAGGGTGTTTAGATATTTGGTTGTGTTTGTTAACATTCATGTGTCTCGTCTGGCGGTTTACCTCTTGTACTACTACTTGAACGCAACACCTTATGACTGCTGCCTAATTCCACGTTCTCGAAAGCTCAACAAAGTGTTTTGATCCCAGTTCGGTTTAAACCGTCTGGGCCGAGCAGGTTTTCCCTGCAACACTCATGAAGCACAAGTAAGTGACTCAGGTCTGTAGGATAGTATTAAAACCCTCGGGGAAGTATCGTGTAAGAAGAACATGGAGCTAGGAGAGGATCTGCTTCGAGACCATCTTAAGAACCTGAACGTGCACAAGTCCATGGGTCCAGATGAAATCCATCCGCGGGTCCTGAAGGAGCTGGCGAATGAAGTTGCTAAGCCACCGTCCGTCATCTTTGAGAAATCATGGCAGTCAGGTGAAGTTCCCGATGACTGGAAAAAGGGAAAATATAACCCCCATTTTCAAGAAGGGGAAAATGGATGACCCAGGGAACTACAGAGCAGTCAGTCTCACCTCTGTGGCTGGCAAAATCTTGGAGCAGGTTCTCCTGGATGGCATGCTAAGGCACATGAAAAACAACAAGGTGCTTGGTGACAGCCAGCATGGCTTCACTAAGGGGAAATCCTGCCTGGCCAATCTGGTGGCCTTCTAAGATGGGGCTAGGGAACTGATGGAAAGGGGTAGAGCAGCTGATGTCATCTACCGGGACTTGTGCAAAGCATTCGACACTGTCCCGCATGACATCCTTGTCTCTAAATTGGAGAGACATCAGTTTGACGGATGAAGACAGGCTGAGAAAAGCTGGGGCTGTTCAGCCTGGAGAAGAGAAGGCTGCATGGAGACCTCATAGCAGCCTTCCAGTATCTGAAAGGGGCCTCTAAGGATGCTGGGGAGGGACTCTTCATTAGGGACTGTAGTGATAGGAGAAGGGGTAACGGGTTAAACCTTCAACAGGGCAAGTTTAGATTGGATGTAAGGAGGAAGTTCTTTACCGTAAGGGTGGTGAGGCACTGGAATGGGTTGCCCAAGGAAGTTGTGAATGCTCCATCCCGGGCAGTGTTCAAGACCAGGTTGGAAGGAGCCTTGGGTGACATGGTTAAGTGTGAGGTGTCCCTGCCCATGCAGGGGAGTTGGAACTAGATGATCTTAAGGTCCTTTCCAGCCCTAACTATTCTATGATTCTATATGCATAACATAGCAGAGCTTTCTGTTGCATTCTGTTCAGTTCCATTCCACTCTCTTCTGTTCTATTCCACTGCATTTTATTGCCTTCCCTTCCCTGCACTCACAAGTTGTACAATGAGGAGATCCGTATTTACCTGAAATGCCAAGGGAATTTCAGCACCAAAACCACTTTCAAAGACACAGCTCAGAACGGTTACGGGTAGAAAGAGTATTTGATTTATTTCTAAATCAAGTGATTTGATTTGATTTGATTTAGTTTAGCTTAGTTAATTTTAGTCTGGTTTAGCTTAGACCCTTCAGTTTAGCTGGAAAAACCCTCCCTTGCAGCCTGAGAAAGGAAAGCCAGGGCAGGAGCGGCGCCGTGGTGTTGCGAGAGCAGTGCAAGAAAGAACCCAGCCAGAAAGGGCCAGGGAAGAGCTGACGAGGGCTGGTGCTCAGTACTCCAGAGGACAGCAGCGAGTCCCGGGGCCACGCTGGGGCCAGCCTGGGAGTGCAGAAGGCTGCCTCCCCCCGGATGCGGGGCACGAGGGCCACCTGCGTGGAGCACGAGCAGCTGCCTTTGGGACCCCATGACCCAAAGGAGCCCCGTGAAGGGGCTGTGCTCGGCTGCAGAGGAAGGCAAAAAACCCCAGGGACGCTTGCTAGTCCAGCCTGGGGGGAAAAAAGCACTTCCCTCCCCCAGCTGCAGGACACGAGGGGCCGCCTTCGCGGAGCATGAGCACCGGGCGATAACGCAGCCAGAATGGACCGAGGAGCCCTGACAAGGGGTCATGCTCCGTGCTCAGAGGAAGGCAAAAAACCCCCGGGGACGGGTGCCAATCTGCCCCGGGGGAAAATTCCTTCCTGACCCCAGTGCTGGCGGTCGGCTACTCCCTGAGCACGTGAGCAAGACCTGCTCCCGCTCCACACGCTGGTTACGCCTCTAAGGGGACAAGGGGACACTGGCACTGCTTTTTCTGCTTCCACGTGAAGTCATCTCAGGGGCTTCCAACAACAGCAAAATGCCATTGGCCTGATGAATCCTCGGAGCACGAATCCTTCCTGTGCTTGGCAGTGGGAGCTCCAGAGCCCTGGGGGAGGGCACTGAGCCGCCTGTGCATCCTTTTTCTTCTGGCTACTGCCACTCTCTCCCCAGGAGGTGAGGACGGCGAGCTCCCTGACAACCAAAGCAGGATCCCTCGATGATGCTTTGAGCGTGGCCCCTCCAGAAGCTGGAACCGCAGCACAGAGCCTCCTGCAGCTTCGCAGCTTGAGGTGTTCCCTCCCTCAGTCCCCCCCCTACCTAATACCCTGGTGCCCAGCAGAGGAGGACGGCGAGCTCCCCAACGACTGAAGCAGGATTTCCATCCATCCATCCATCCATAGATCCGATGAGCTTTGAGCGTGGCCCCTCCAGGAGCTGGAACCGCAGCACAGAACCTCCTGCAGCTTCGCAGCTTCAAGTGTTCCCTCCCTTAGTCCCCCCCTCACCTAATACCCTGGTGCCCAGGGGATGAGGACGGCGAGCTCCCCAGTGACTGAGGCAGGATTTCCACCCATGCATCCATCCATAGATCCGATGAGCTTTGAGCGTGGCCCCTCCAGGAGCTGGAACCACAGCACAGAACCTCCTGCAGCTTCGTGCAGCTTCAAGGGTTGCCCCCATCAACCCCCTTCCCCCTGCCAGGAATTCCCCCGGTGCCCCAAGGACTGCCTCTCGGATGCCCTCCGCCTGCCAGCTCTGTCCTGGTGGCAGCGCCGGGCACTCTGGCAGTGGGGCAGGGGAGGGCGCTGGACTCATACTGCCCCGGAGCATTGTGATGCTGCGTGGCCGGGTGCCGGCACTATGACACGGGGGTGACGGGGCCCCTGCAGCCCTGCCCACCGCAGCCCTGCTGCTGCCGCTGCCCCTTCACCCAGCATCCCTTGGA